GTCAGAAGCTACAGAACACCAGGGGACGGGTCAGAAGCTACAGAACACCAAGGGGACGGGTCAGAAGCTACAGAACACAGGGGACGGGTCAGAAGCTACAGAACCAAGGGGACGGGTCAGAAGCTACAGAACACAAGGGGACGGGTCAGAAGCTACAGAACACAAGGGGACGGGTCAGAAGCTACGAACACAAGGGGACGGGTCAGAAGCTACAGAACACAAGGGGACGGGTCAGAAGCTACCGAACACAAGGGGACGGGTCAGAAGCTACAGAACACAAGGGGGACGGGTCAGAAGCTACGAACACAAGGGGACGGGTTCAGAAGCTACAGAACACAAGGGGACGGGGTCAGAAGCTACAGAACCACCAGGGGACTGGGTCAGAAAGCTACAGAACACAAGGGGACGGGTCAGAAGCTACAGAACACAAGGGGACGGGTCAGAAGCTACAGAACACAAGGGGACGGGGTCAGAAGCTACCGAACACAAGGGGACGGGTCAGAAGCTACAGAAACACAAGGGGAGGGTCAGAAGCTACAGAACACAAGGGGACGGGTCAGAAGCTACAGAACACCAGGGGAACGGGTCAGAAGCTACAGAACACAAGGGGACGGGTCAGAAAGCTACAGAAAACCAGGGGACGGGGTCAGAAGCTACAGAACACAAGGGGGACTGGTTCAGAAGCTCACAGAACACCTATGGGGACGGTCAGAAGCTACAGAACACAAGGGGGACGGGTCAGAAGCTACAGAACACCAGGGAACGGGTCAGAAGCTACAGAACACAAGGGGACGGGGTCAGAAGCTACAGAACACAAGGGTACGGGTCAGAAGCTACAGAACACAAGGGGACGGGTCAGAAGCTACAGAACACAAGGGGACGGGGTCAGAAGCTACAGAACACAAGGGGACGGGTCAGAAGCTACAGAACACAAGGGGACGGGTCAGAAGCTACAGAACACAAGGGGAACGGGTCAAGAAGCTACAGAACACAAGGGGGACGGGTCAAGAAGCTACAGAACACAAGGGGATGGGTCAGAAGCTTCAGAACACAAGGGGACGGGTCAGAAGCTAGAGAACACAAGGGGACGGGTCAGAAGCTACAGAACACAAGGGGACGGGTCAGAAGCTACAGAACACCAGGGGACGGGTCAGAAGCTACAGAACACCAGGGGACGTGGTCAGAAGCTACAGAACACCAAGGGGACGGGCAGGAAGCTACAGAAACAAGGGGACGGGTCAGAAGCCTACAGAAACACAAGGGGACGGGTCAGAAGCTACAGGAACACAAGGGGACGGGTCAGAAGCTACAGACACACCGGGGAACGGGTCAGAAGCTACAGAACACCAGGGGACGGGTCAGAAGCTACAGAACACCAGGGGACGGGTCAGAAGCTACAGAACACCAGGGGACGGGTCAGAAGCTACAGAACACAAGGGGACGGGTCAGAAGCTACAGAACACAAGGGGACGGGTCAGAAGCTACAGAACACAAGGGGACGGGTCAGAAGCTACAGAACACAAGGGGACGGGTCAGAAGCTACCGACACAAGGGGACGGGTCAGAAGCTACAAAACACAAGGGGACGGGTTCAGAAGCTACAGAACACCAGGGGACGGGTCAGAAGCTACAGAACACAAGGGGACGGGTCAGAAGCTACAGAACACAAGGGGACGGGTCAGAAGCTACCGAACACAAGGGGACGGGTCAGAAGCTACAGAACACCAGGGGACGGGTCAGAAGCTACAGAACACAAGGGGACGGGTCAGAAGCTACTGAACACAAGGGGACGGGTCAGAAGCTACAGAAACACAAGGGGACGGGTCAGAAGCTACAGAACACAAGGGGACGGGTCAGAAGCTACAGAACACCAGGGGACGGGTCAGAAGCTACAGAACACAAGGGGACGGGTCAGAAGCTACAGAACACAAGGGGACGGGTCAGAAGCTACAGAACACCAGGGGACGGGTCAGAAGCTACAGAACACAAGGGGACGGGTCAGAAGCTACAGAACACAAGGGGACGGGTCAGAAGCTACAGAACACAAGGGGACGGGTCAGAAGATACAGAACACCAGGGGACGGGTCAGAAGCTACAGAACACAAGGGGACGGGTCAGAAGCTACAGAACACAAGGGGACGGGTCAGAAGCTAAAGAACACAAGGGGACGGGTCAGAAGCTACAGAACACCAGGGGACGGGTCAGAAGCTACAGAACACAAGGGGACGGGTCAGAAGCTACAGAACACAAGGGGCGGGTCAGAAGCTACAGAACACAAGGGGACGGGTCAGAAGCTACAGAACACAAGGGGACGGGTCAGAAGCTACAGAACACAAGGGGACGGGGTCAGAAAGCTACAGAACACAAGGGTACGGGTCAGAAGCTACAGAACACAAGGGGACGGGGTCAGAAGCTACAGAACACAAGGGAAGGGTCAGAAGCTACAGAACCACAAGGGACGGGTCAGAAGCTTCAGAACACAAGGGGACGGGTCAGAAGCTACAGAACACAAGGGGACGGGTCAGAAGCTACAGAACACAAGGGGACGGATCAGAAGCTACAGAACACAAGGGGACGGGTCAGAAGCTACAGAACACAAGGGGACGGGTCAGAAGCTACAGAACACAAGGGGACGGGTCAGAAGCTACCGAACACAAGGGGACGGGTCAGAAGCTACAGAACACAAGGGGACGGGTCAGAAGCTACAGAACATCAGGGGACGGGTCAGAAGCTACAGAACATCAGGGGACGGGTCAGAAGCTACAGAACACCAGGGGACGGGTCAGAAGCTACAGAACATCAGGGGACGGGTCAGAAGCTACAGAACACCAGGGGACGGGTCAGAAGCTACAGAACACAAGGGGACGGGTCAGAAGCTACTGAACACAAGGGGACGGGTCAGAAGCTACCGAACACAAGGGGACGGGGTCAGAAGCTACAGAACACACAGGGGAGGGTCAGAAGCTACAGAACACCAGGGGAGGGTCAGAAGCTACAGAACACAAGGGGACGGGTCAGAAGCTACAGAACACAAGGGGACGGCGTCAGAAGCTACAGAACACAAGGGGACGGGTCAGCAGCTACAGAACACCAGGGGAAGGTCAGAAGCTACAGAACACAAGGGGACGGGTCAGAAGTACAGAAACACAAGGGGACGGGTCAGAAGCTAACAGAACACAAGGGACGGGTCAGAAGCTAAAGAACACAAGGGGACGGGTCAGAAGCTACAGAATACCAGGGGACGGGTCAGAAGCTACAGAACACAAGGGGACGGGTCAGAAGCTACAGAAACACAACGGGGACGGGGTCAGAAGCTACAGAACACAAGGGGACGGGTCAGAAGCTACAGAACACAAGGGGACGGGTCAGAAGCTACAGAACACAAGGGGACGGGTCAGAAGCTACAGAACACAAGGGTACGGGTCAGAAGCTACAGAACACAAGGGACGGGTCAGAAGCTACAGAACACAAGGGGACGGGTCAGAAGCTTGAGAAACACAAGGGGACGGGTCAGAAGCTACAGAACACAAGGGACGGGTCAGAAGCTACAGAACACAAGGGGAGGGTCAGAAGCTACAGAACACAAGGGGACGGGTTCAGAAGCTACAGAACATCAAGGGGCGGGTCAGAAGCTACAGAACATCAAGGGGACGGGTCAGAAGCTACAGAACACCAGGGGACGGGTCAGAGAAGCTACAGAACACAAGGGGACGGGTCAGAAGCTACAGAACACAAGGGGACGGGTCAGAAGCTACAGAACACCAGGGGACGGGTTCAGAAGCTACAGAACACCAGGGGACGGTCAGAAGCTACAGAACACAAGGGGACGGGTCAGAAGCTACAGAACACAAGGGGACGGGTCAGAAGCTACAGAACACAAGGGGACGGGTCAGAAGCTACAGAACACAAGGGGACGGGTCAGAAGCTACAGAACACAAGGGGACGGGTCAGAAGCTTGAGAACACAAGGGGACGGGTCAGAAGCTACAGAACACAAGGGGACGGGTCAGAAGCTACAGAACACAAGGGGACGGGTCAGAAGCTACAGAACACAAGGGGACGGGTCAGAAGCTTGAGAACACAAGGGGACGGGTCAGAAGCTACAGAACACAAGGGGACGGGTCAGAAGCTACAGAACACAAGGGGACGGGTCAGAAGCTAGAGAACACCAGGGGACGGGTCAGAAGCTACAGAACACCAGGGGACGGGTCAGAAGCTACAGAACACCAGGGGATGGGTCAGAAGCTACAGAACACAAGGGGACGGGTCAGAAGCTAGAGAACACCAGGGGATGGGTCAGAAGCTACAGAACATCAGGGGACGGGTCAGAAGCTACAGAACACCAGGGGACGGGTCAGAAGCTACAGAACATCAGGGGACGGGTCAGAAGCTACAGAACACAAGGGGACGGGTCAGAAGCTACAGAACATCAGGGGACGGGTCAGAAGCTACAGAACACCAGGGGACGGGTCAGAAGCTACAGAACACAAGGGGACGGGTCAGAAGCTACAGAACACCAGGGGATAATAAATAAGCTAAACTGATCTCGCGAGACTTCGCGATGCTCGCTGTAAGAATCCCCCAAACCTGAGAATGTGTTGATCAGCTGATTAACGGGTTATTAGAGTGACGTCACGCCAAGGGTAACGGGATTAGTGCGGGAGAAGTGAGGATAAAACGTGATTTAACGGGATTTGGGTAAATAAAGGTAAAGTGATCGAGCTAGCTTAGCTTCACTGTTTGAACCGGGACATGTAGAGGGTTTTTGTTACCTGTTGGAGCCCCGGTGGGTCGGCTAGTCTCCGTCAGGCCGTCCTGTCTCTCATGTTAGAGGCTTTAGCGACGAGAAGAGGAACAAAGTGCTGTTTATCGACAGAGGATTCGGAGCTTTGTCGCACCGGCGTCAAGCTAACAGCTAACACACACACTTCCGGGGGGGGGTCACAATAAAACACACCGACTTCTGGGAGGGTTTTCCAGAATAAAACACACCGTTTGTGGAGATTTAGGAAAATAAACCTTTCAAATCAAAGCCGAAAATATAAATAATCCTTTGATTAAAAGCTTTGGATAACCCCATATTTGACTGATTAAAATAATAAGGTTTATTTACATTAAGAGCCGGAAGAATAATGGCCTTCCGGTCCACTAGGTGGCGGGAAATCTCAAATAAACGTCATTAGAGATAAAAGAAGAAGAAGAGGAGCCGGAAGTCAGCTGTCAACAATTGGAGGAAAATCTTCAAGTTTCTTCATGACTGCACAGGTGAGTTTACCTGAGAGCACGAGAGCTCACCTGATCACCTGAGTACCCCTCAATGCAGTGCGCAATGCCTCAATGAGCTCAACGTGGGCGGGAGCTCAACCTTTGAGGCACGTGACTTCCCGACTCCCGTGTTGTGTACTACTACTTACCCAGTCACAAAAGTAACATATATATCTTATGTTATTAATATATATATATATAATTATGATGTCTGTGGTTATTTAAACATTCCCTGATAAACGTTATTTCAGCGTCAATAAATGAGTGTTAATCCCAGTGTGTTTAGTGTGCAACATCACATGTCATTTCACCTTCAATTCACGGTTTTCAAAACGTTAGCCACATGCTAATGCTAACCGGAAATGAATAATTTTCAGAATAAAAGTGTGAACTTCCGTTTTTTTCAGAATACAACTGCTTTAAATTAAAACTCTGTATTTAATTTAAATTACGTCATATCAACATTGATTTTAATTTCTTACAGTAGGAGAGGTTTTGGGGTTTTGGGAGGGAGGAAGATTAGGATTAGGTAAAAAGGTAGGGAGTGGTCACTCTCTCTCTGATGAGACATGTCTCCATAGATCTCTCTCTGATGAGACATGTCTCCATAGATCTCTCTCTGATGAGACATGTCTCCATAGATCTCTCTCTGATGAGACATGTCTCCATAGATCTCTCTCTGATGAGACATGTCTCCATAGATCTCTCTCTCTAGTATGTAATACTAGTATGTATTAACTAGTATGTAATAACTAGTATGTATTAACTAGTATGTAATAACTAGTATGTAATAACTAGTATGTATTAACTAGTATGTATTAACTAGTATGTAATAACTAGTATGTAATAACTAGTATGTATTAACTAGTATGTATTAACTAGTATGTATTAACTAGTATGTAATAACTAGTATGTATTAACTAGTATGTAATAACTAGTATGTAATAACTAGTATGTATTAACTAGTATGTATTAACTAGTATGTATTAACTAGTATGTATAACTAGTATGTATTAACTAGTATGTAATAACTAGTATGTAATAACTAGTATGTAATAACTAGTATGTAATAACTAGTATGTATTAACTAGTATGTATTAACTAGTATGTAATAACTAGTATGTATTAACTAGTATGTATAACTAGATGTAATAACTAGTATGTAATAACTAGTATGTATAAATAGTATGTAATAACTAGTATGTAATAACTAGTATGATAATAGTATGTATACTAGTATGTAATAACTAGTATGTATTAACTAGTATGTAATAACTAGTATGATTAACTAGTATACTAGTATGTAATAACTAGTATGTAATAAACTAGTATGTAATAACTAGTATGTATAACTAGTATGTATTAACTAGTATGTAATAACTAGTATGTATAACTAGTATGTATTAACTAGTATGTAATAACTAGTATGTATAACTAGTATGTATTAACTAGTATGTAATAACTAGTATGTAATAACTAGTCTGTAATAACTAGTATGTAATAACTAGTATGTAATTAACTAGTATGTATAATAGTATGTAATAACTCAGTATGTATTAACTAGTATGATATTAACTAGTATGTAATAATAGTATGTAATAACTAGTATGTAATAACTAGTATGTAATAACTAGTATGTATTAACTAGTATGTAATAACTAGTATGTAATAACTAGTATGTATTAACTAGTATGTATTAACTAGTATGTAATAACTAGTATGTTTAACTAGTATGTAATAACTAGTATGTAATAACTAGTATGTAATAACTAGTATGTATTAACTAGTATGTATTAACTAGTATGTAATAACTAGTATGTATTAACTAGTATGTATTAACTAGTATGTATTAACTAGTATGTATTAACTAGTATGTATTAACTAGTATGTAATAACTAGTATGTAATAACTAGTATGTATTAACTAGTATGTAATAACTAGTATGTAATAACTAGTATGTTTTAACTAGTATGTAATAACTAGTATGTAATAACTAGTATGTATTAACTAGTATGTATTAACTAGTATGTAATAACTAGTATGTATTAACTAGTATGTATTAACTAGTATGTATTAACTAGTATGTAATAACTAGTATGTATTAACTAGTATGTAATAACTAGTATGTAATAACTAGTATGTATTAACTAGTATGTAATAACTAGTATGTAATAACTAGTATGTATTAACTAGTATGTAATAACTAGTATGTATTAACTAGTATGTATAACAGTATGTAATAACTAGTATGTATAACTAGTATGTAATAACTAGTATGTAATAACTAGTATGTATTAACTAGTATGTATTAACTAGTATGTAATAACTAGTATGTAATAACTAGTATGTATTAACTAGTATGTATTAACTAGTATGTAATAACTAGTATGTAATAACTAGTATGTAATAACTAGTATGTAATAACTAGTATGTATTAACTAGTATGTAATAACTAGTATGTATTAACTAGTATGTAATAACTAGTATGTATTAACTAGTATGTATTAACTAGTATGTAATAACTAGTATGTAATAACTAGTATGTATTAACTAGTATGTAATAACTAGTATGTAATAACTAGTATGTATTAACTAGTATGTAATAACTAGTATGTAATAACTAGTATGTATTAACTAGTATGTAATAACTAGTATGTAATAACTAGTATGTATTAACTAGTATGTAATAACTAGTATGTATTAACTAGTATGTATTAACTAGTATGTATTAACTAGTATGTATTAACTAGTATGTATTAACTAGTATGTAATAACTAGTATGTAATAACTAGTATGTATTAACTAGTATGTAACTCATATGTTATTAACATGACCTCAGGTGACAGTGCTGTACTTCGCTAAGAGCGCGGAGCTGAGCGGACTGAAGGAGGAGGAGCTTGTTGCCGTGCCAACACCAATCAGTAGCCAGGGCCTCTGGAGCCTGTTGCTACAGCGACACCCCAGGTGTGTGTGCAGGTTGTGTGTGTGTAATGTATATAGTGTGTCAGAACCAGGGTACCACACGCTTTACTGGGAGTCTGATCACCTGATTCTGATCAGCTGTCTGAGCCTCTCCATCCCCCCAGCAGCCGGCACTCTGACCCCCGCTGCCACACTGATGTGATGTGTGTGTGCACTCTGACCCCCGCTGCCACACTGATGTGATGTGTGTGTGCACTCTGACCTCCGCTGTCACACTGATGTGATGTGTGTGTGCACTCTGACCCCCGCTGCCACACTGATGTGATGTGTGTGTGCACTCTGACCCCCGCTGCCACACTGATGTGATGTGTGTGTGCACTCTGACCCCCGCTGCCACACTGATGTGATGTGTGTGTGCACTCTGACCCCCGCTGCCACACTGATGTGATGTGTGTGTGCACTCTGACCCCCGCTGCCACACTGATGTGATGTGTGTGTGCACTCTGACCCCCGCTGCCACACTGATGTGATGTGTGTGTGCACTCTGACCCCCGCTGCCACACTGATGTGATGTGTGTGTGCACTCTGACCCCCGCTGCCACACTGATGTGATGTGTGTGTGCACTCTGACCCCCGCTGCCACACTGATGTGATGTGTGTGTGCACTCTGACCCCCGCTGTCACACTGATGTGATGTGTGTGTGCACTCTGACCCCCGCTGCCACACTGATGTGATGTGTGTGTGCACTCTGACCCCGCTGCCACACTGATGTGATGTGTGTGTGCACTCTGACCCCCGCTGCCACACTGATGTGATGTGTGTGTGCACTCTGACCCCGCTGCCACACTGATGTGATGTGTGTGTGCACTCTGACCCCCGCTGCCACACTGATGTGATGTGTGTGTGCACTCTGACCCCGCTGCCACACTGATGTGATGTGTGTGTGCACTCTGACCCCCGCTGCCACACTGATGTGATGTGTGTGCACTCTGACCCCCGCTGCCACACTGATGTGATGTGTGTGTGCACTCTGACCCCCGCTGCCACATGATGTGATGTGGTGTGCACTCTGACCCCCGCTGCCACACTGATGTGATGTGTGTGTGCACTCTGACCCCCGCTGCCACACTGATGTGATGTGTGTGTGCACTCTGACCCCGCTGTCACACTGATGTGATGTGTGTGCACTCTGACCCCCGCTGCCACACTGATGTGATGTGTGTGTGCACTCTGACCCCGCTGCCACACTGATGTGATGTGTGTGTGCACTCTGACCCCCGCTGCCACACTGATGTGATGTGTGTGTGCACTCTGACCCCCGCTGCCACACTGATGTGATGTGTGTGCGCACTCTGACCCCCGCTGCCACACTGATGTGATGTGTGTGTGCAGGTTGTGTGTGTGCACTCTGACCCCCGCTGCCACACTGATGTGATGTGTGTGTGCACTCTGACCCCCGCTGCCACACTGATGTGATGTGTGTGTGCACTCTGACCCCCGCTGTCACACTGATGTGATGTGTGTGTGCACTCTGACCTCCGCTGTCACACTGATGTGATGTGTGTGTGCACTCTGACCCCCGCTGCCACACTGATGTGATGTGTGTGTGCAGGTTGTGTGTGTGCACTCTGACCCCCGCTGCCACACTGATGTGATGTGTGTGTGCACTCTGACCCCCGCTGCCACACTGATGTGATGTGTGTGTGCAGGTTGTGTGTGTGCACTCTGACCCCCGCTGCCACACTGATGTATATGATGTGTGTGTGCAGGTTGTGTGTGTGCACTCTGACCCCCGCTGCCACACTGATGTATATGATGTGTGTGTGTGTGCAGGTTGTGTGTGCTGCAGCATCAGGTGGTGTTGGCGGTACGTCAGCAGTACGTGGCCATCGGTGACGAGCTAGTTGCCCTTGGCGACGGAGACGAGGTTGCCGTGGTGCCGCCGCTGAGCGGGGGTTAAAGGTGAGAGGCTCTCACACACACCTGTATGATCACACCTGCTGTCACACACACACACACACACACACACACACACACACACCACACACACACACCTGTATGATCACACCTGCTGTCACACACACACACACACACACCTGTATGATCACACCTGCTGTCACACACACACACACACACACACCTGTATGATCACACCTGCTGTCTCACACACACACACACACACACACACACACACACACACCTGTATGATCACACCTGCTGTCTCACACACACACACACACACACACACACACACACACCTGTATGATCACACCTGCTGTCACACACACACACACACACACACCACACACACACACACCTGTATGATCACACCTGCTGTCTCACACACACACACACACACACACACACACACACACACACACACACCACACACACACACACACACACACACACACACACCTGTATGATCAAACCTGCTGTCACACACACACCACACACACACACACACACACACACACACACACACCTGTATGATCAAACCTGCTGTCACACACACACACACACACACACACACACACACCACACACACACACACACACCTGTATGATCACACCTGCTGTCACACACACACACACACCACACACACACACACACACACCACACACACACCTGTATGATCAAACCTGCTGTCACACACACACACACACACACACACACACACACACACACACCTGTATGATCAAACCTGCTGTCACACACACACACACACACACACACACACACACACACACACACACACACACCTGTATGATCACACCTGCTGTCTCACACACACACACACACACACATACACACACACACACCTGTATGATCAAACCTGCTGTCTCACACACACACACACACACCTGTATAATCACACCTGCTGTCACACACACACACACACACACACACACACACACACCACACACCTGTATGATCAAACCTGCTGTCTCACACACACACACACACACCACACACACACACACACACACACACACACACACACACACACACACACACACCTGTATGATCACACCTGCTGTCACACACACACACACACACACACACACACACACACACACACACACACACACACCTGTATGATCAAACCTGCTGTCTCACACACACACACACACACACACACACACACACACACACACCTGTATGATCACACCTGCTGTCACACACACACACACCTGTATGATCACACCTGTATGATCACACCTGCTGTCACACACACACACCTGTATGATCACACCTGAGGCCTGTCCTACGAAGCCGGTTCAACCTAACCTGGATGAGTTTGAGTTAGCCGGTTGGCCTAATCCAAAACATACGCGCTCTCGCTAAGCGGTCCTACGACGCTGGTTATCAAGTGGATCGCTCAAGCCAGCCGTGTCCTATCTAGTTAGGTGTTCACATGAGAGGGGTGGTATCTGGAGCATTCGACCAATCACAGACAGGGAGAAGCGCACTGACAGCGCAGCGTCATACTTCCTGAATGAACAGTCAACTATAATATTAGACATATGAAGAAGTTAAAGTTGAAACATCCAGGACTTAAACACTTGATCCAGGATCAAAGCCACAGAGCTGCACCTGCAAGGTGAACACAGCTGGGAACAGAACAAGTGTTTGAATGCGTACATTAACAGCTTTATGATATCACTGCCGTCTAAGACACCATCTGACTTTCATTACATTTGACTCCAGTGTTTCCTCAACTTAATGTGTTGCTTCAAATAATGCTTCTGCATCCAGTCTGTGACGCTGTGAGTGTTGCACGGCCAGATACGGCTCAGCTGACTCAGATCAGGAGATGATACATTATGAAGTGATATGGACTGTACTTAATGTGACTCTGATCCGGTTACTGATGTTGTGGCAGATATTTCAGTAAGCTTTCTTAACGCTAATGTTATAATAGTCAGATTGCTCTGAAGATGGAGGTGATATTCTATTCATGTTCACGTTCACACAGTCGCTGATTGTTGCCGGCCGTCTTTCCTGCAACGGCAGCTTTTCTGTATTTCCTTTCTCCTGTAATATGACTTGATCGCTTTAAACTCCGCACACTGAGCTCTGATTGGTCAGCAGGCGGTGCTTTCACTGAGTTGATCTCTTAGCCTGCAACCTAACCTGCTCCGGGGCAGGTTAGCCGCTCAGCATCAGTTACCATGGAGATCTAGCCGCTAAAAAGAGAACCAGCTTCGTAGGACCGGAAACCCAGAGTTACCCTGAAGTTAGCCTCTAAGAGAACATCCGGCTTCGTAGTATACCCCCCTGCTGTCTGTCACACACACACACACACCCCACACAACACACACACACACACACACACACACACCTGTATAATCACACCTGCTGTCTCACACACACATTCATACACACACACTCACACACACTCGCACACACCTGTAGGATCACACCTGTATGATTACATTATTAAATCTTTATAATATTTGACCCCAGATGGTGGAGCCGCACAGAGACGTCTTGAAGCTGCGCCGTGATTGGCTGTCTGTACAGGAAGTGGTGGACGCCGTCAGCAGCGCTTCCTGTGGAGCCACCTCAGTGTTTATAGGTTAATAAATAGAATATTATAATATTATAATTAGCATTAATATTATTAATGGTGTTATTGTTTCCTCTCACCTGTGCAGGTACGACCCGGGAGGACGTGCTGGACGGCAGGAAGGTGATTGGTCTGGAGTATGAGGCGTACGAGCCCATGGCCCAATCAGAGTTCAGGAAGCTGTGTGATGTCATCAGAGAGCGCTGGCCCAGCGTGACGCACGTCTGCGTTCACCACCGGCTGGGGTGGGATGCTAACTGCTAATGCTAACGGTGGTTAACCTGCAGACGTGTTTAAGCTACGGATGCTAACTGCTAACGGTGGTTAACCTGCAGACGTGTTTAAGCTACGGATGCTAACTGCTAATGCTAACGGTGGTAAATCTGCAGGCGTGTTTAAGCTACGGATGCTAACTGCTAATGCTAAGATTTTCTCATCTCAGGTGGGTGAAGGTGGGTGAGGCCAGCGTTGTCATGGCGATCTCGTCTCCTCATCGCCATGACGGCCAGCAGGCGATGCAACAGGCGGTCGAACAGCTGAAGGCAAGGCTGCCCGTCTGGAAGAAGGTCTGAGAAGCACCTGTTACTAACACCTGTTACTAACACCTGTTACTAACACCTGTTACTAACACCTGTTACTAACACCTGTTACTAACACCTGTTACTAACACCTGTTGTTAACACCTGTTGTTAACACCTGTTACTAACACCTGTTGTTAACACCTGTTGTTAACACCTGTTGTTAACACCTGTTGTTAACACCTGTTACTAACACCTGTTGTTAACACCTGTTACTAACACCTGTTACTAACACCTGTTACTAACACCTGTTACTAACACCTGTTACTAACACCTGTTACTAACACCTGTTACTAACACCTGTTACTAACACCTGTTACTAACACCTGTTGTTAACACCTGTTGTTAACACCTGTTGTTAACACCTGTTACTAACACCTGTTACTAACACCTGTTGTTAACACCTGTTACTAACACCTGTTACTAACACCTGTTACTAACACCTGTTAATAACACCTGTTACTAACACCTGTTACTAACACCTGTTAATAACACCTGTTGTTAACACCTGTTGTTAACACCTGTTACTAACACCTGTTACTAACACCTGTTGTTAACACCTGTTACTAACACCTGTTACTAACACCTGTTGTTAACACCTGTTACTAACACCTGTTACTAACACCTGTTACTAACACCTGTTGTTAACACCTGTTACTAACACCTGTTACTAACACCTGTTGTTAACACCTGTTACTAACACCTGTTGTTAACACCTGTTGTTAACACCTGTTGTTAACACCTGTTGTTAACACCTGTTACTAACACTTGTTACTAACACCTGTTGTTAACACCTGTTGTTAACACCTGTTACCAACACCTGTTGTTAACACCTGTTACTAACACCTGTTGCTAACACCTGTTGTTAACACCTATTACTAACACCTGTTGTTAACACCTGTTGTTAACACCTGTTGTTAACACCTGTTGTTAACACCTGTTACTAACACTTGTTACTAACACCTGTTGTTAACACCTGTTGTTAACACCTGTTACCAACACCTGTTGTTAACACCTGTTACTAACACCTGTTGCTAACACCTGTTGTTAACACCTGTTGTTAACACCTGTTGTTAACACCTGTTACTAACACCTGTTGTTAACACCTGTTACTAACACCTGTTGTTAACACCTGTTACTAACACCTGTTACTAACACCTGTTGTTAACACCTATTGTTAACACCTGTTACTAACACCTGTTGTTAACACCTGTTACTAACACCTGTTATTAACACCTGTTGTTAACACCTGTTGTTAACACCTGTTGTTAACACCTGTTACTAACACCTGTTGTTAACACCTGTTGTTAACACCTGTTGTTATCACCTGATATTTATGTGTTGTGCTCCTGCAGGAGGTGTACGACTCCCAGGAGGCGAGCTGGAAGGAGAACTCTGAGTGTCCGTGGGCCTCCAACCACAAACAATAAATAATAATGAAACTCTCCCCTGTTAATTTGATTTATTGCACACAGAGATGCATGATGGGAGTTTCAGAGTGCTTTCCTGGGTGTTTTTCAATCTCGAGGACGCTTGCTTGGTAGCACATGTCTTCCTTCAGAAGCGAGGCAAGAATCCTTCCTGGCATTCGGAAAACGAAGAGTGGAACGGGCGAGCAAGTGTGCAGGTGTGCGTCACATGAGGCCCCGCCTTACATCATCAGCCACAGATTTGGGGAAATTGGTCCGTGCTGTTGGAGCAATGAGTGGTCTGAAACCCACCTCGGCTCCGCGTGTCCTTTGATGAGCTGGTCAGATTATAAAAGAAGGAATTCAAAGCCAGATAAAGGGTTAAACAATCATCTGCTTTAATGGTAAACAACAACAATACACTTTAAAGGGACGCCCCTGCTCTGGTCCTAGTGCACTTTAAAGGGACGCCCCTGCTCTGGTCCTAGTGCACTTTAAAGGGACGCCCCTGCTCTGGTCCTAGTGCACTTTAAAGGGGACCCCCTGCTCTGGTCCTAGTACACTTTAAAGGGACGCCCCTGCTCTGGTCCTAGTGCACTTTAAAGGGACGCCCCTGCTCTGGTCCTAGTGCACTTTAAAGGGACGCCCCTGCTCTGGTCCTAGTGCACTTTAAAGGGGTACCCCTGCTCTGGTCCTAGTACACTTTAAAGGGACGCCCCTGCTCTGGTCCTAGTGCACTTTAAAGGGGACCCCCTGCTCTGGTCCTAGTACACTTTAAAGGGGTACCCCTGCTCTGGTCCTAGTACACTTTAAAGGGGTACCCCTGCTCTGGTCCTAGTGCACTTTAAAGGGACGTCCCTGCTCTGGTCCTAGTGCACTTTAAAGGGGTACCCCTGCTCTGGTCCTAGTACACTTTAAAGGGACGCCCCTGCTCTGGTCCTAGTGCACTTTAAAGGGGACCCCCTGCTCTGGTCCTAGTACACTTTAAAGGGGTACCCCTGCTCTGTTCCTAGTACACTTTAAAGGGGTACCCCTGCTCTGGTCCTAGTACACTTTAAAGGGGTACCCCTGCTCTGTTCCTAGTACACTTTAAAGGGGTACCCCTGCTCTGGTCCTAGTACACTTTAAAGGGGTACGGGACCCCTGCTCTGGTCCTAGTACACTTTAAAGGGGTACCCCTGCTCTGGTCCTAGTACACTTTAAAGGGGTACCCCTGCTCTGGTCCTAGTACACTTTAAAGGGGTACCCCTGCTCTGGTCCTAGTACACTTTAAAGGGGTACCCCTGCTCGGGTCCTAGTACACTTTAAAGGGGTACCCCTGCTCTGGTCCCAGTGCTGGGAGACCTTACTATCTTGAAAGCAGGAGGAAAAGAGAGCGGACAAAGCACACAACAGGATACATGTAAGAACAACGGGGAGGAGTTGTGTTGGAGGCTCCTCCCATAGGGCCCATCCATTGGGAGATATAAAAACGATAGCCTGTCGCAGCGAATCAGCGCGAGCCAGCCGAGGTGACCCGGAAACAAGAGTCTCTTCAGTTTGAGGCAAATCAAACACATCTGGTGTTCGTTGTCTCACATTCCTGTAGCCTGCCCACACACACACATTTTCTGCATAGACTTCCCTCTCTCCGGCCCCCTCCCCCATCAGTTCAATACACACAGCTCCACACACCCTTGGCATTTTTAAGATATGTCTAAGATATAGTTGTTTATAGTTGGCTAATACAAGTAATAAGTTACTTTAATATCAATAATAACGAGGAAAACATTCCCTCTGCTCTTAAGCAGTCCTACAGCAATGCGAGAAATAGTAGAACTTTACAGCATGTTTAACGCACACTCATTCCACCGCAGCCCTCCAGATGTTTGCCACGCGGTGTGCAAATAACGGCCCGTCCACACTACAGCTTAAAAAAAAGCTTGGAGCTGGGCGTGTCTGAAGCTCGACCAACAACCAATCACATGAATCTCCCGCCCCTGACACACAAGCAGCGGTTTGATTGGCTAGAGTGGCAAGGAGTGAACTCTGAGGCATGAACTCAAACTCAGCCTCGGATAGTGTTTCAAAATAAAGACTTTACTGGGATTTGCACAGTAATGAAAACAAGGAAAACAAAAACACTCTTTCGAGGAAAACTAGAACAGTGATCGATAACATAGATCCGTGAGAAGTCCGTGAGGTAAGCAGGAACGTAGGTCATAGAGAGACAACGAACTGACAATGAACAGGAGGGAGCTAACACAATATATACACAGGTAAAGGGGACACAGGTGGAAACAATCAGGGCGGGGAAAACAATCAAGGACGCAGGAGACAGAAGGGGGCGGGGAGCGTGGAGGCCTGAAATGAGAGGGAGAATTAATTAAGGGAATAAACATAAAGCACAGGGCAAAGGGACATGACAAAACTAACATAAAGAATAAACTTTCACTATCAGTTTCTTGGACATGACAGAGCTTGTACTGGCATATGATTTGATTGGCTGACGCTTCCACCGAAAGCTTCAAAAGCTTCAAAAGCTTCAAAAGTTGAACATTGCTCAACTTTTGCAGCCTGAAACGCCAGGAAAACTCCGCTCTGCTTCCCACAATGCAGTTCGGCAAAAAGTGACATCACCCCATTCAAAGTGAATGGGCAGACATTACATTACATTTAGCTGACGCTTTTATCCAAAGCGACTTACAATAAGTGCGTTCGACCAACAAAATACAACCTTGAAGGAAACAGAATCATAAAGTACATCAGGTTTCATAGAGCAAAACATTTCAAGTGCTACTCAACTGGCTTTAGATAAGCCAGTCCTTTGTTAGTATATAAGTGCTTTGTTAATAGTTCTATCGCTGGAAGTGGAGTCGAAAGAGATGAGTTTTCAGTCTGGAAGGTGTGCAAGCTATCTGCCGTCCTGATGTCAATGGGGAGCTCATTCCACCATCTTGGAGCCAGGACAGCAAACCCACGTGTTTTTGCCAATGGGAACTTGGGTCCCCCTCGCAGCGAGGGCGCAACGAGTCGTTTGGCTGA